CAAATATCCAATAAATATACTAAAAATGTTCAATATCTTTAGCCACCAGAGAAATACAAAGCAAAACTATAAAGAGATACCTCTACATTCCAGTTAAAATAGTGATTATTGGGGTCGGGGCGGGGCAGTGATGATGTGAAGGAAAATGTATCCTTATATACTGTTAGTGGGAATATAAATTAGTACAGTCACTATGCAAAGCAGCATGAAAGTTCCTTCAAATGGTAAAAATAGAATTACCATATGATCCAGCTATCCTCCTCCTGGGTATGTATCTGAAGGAAATGAAATCAGCATACAAAAGAAATACTTCTATTCTTTTCATGTTTATTGCGTGAATCTGCCTAGGTGTCCATCAACAGATGAAAAGATAAGGAAAATGTCTAGAGAAGCTTTATAATGCTATATGTTGAGCTTGCTGGAAGATTCTGGTCAAAGCTCAGAATGCCAAAATGCTGATGAAATGCAGAAAGTAAAAGGCAAACTCATGAGGTTATAGCTGGGGAAAAAGACTCCATTAGCAACTGGGCTAGAGCCATGTGTGTTACTCTCTGACAGAAACTTTACCTTTTCCCCACTTCCTGAGACTTTGTGAACAACAGACTAATTAATTTGGTGGAAGAAATTTCAGGGCAACTCAACATTCAGGCTATAACATAAGGACTGCCTGCTGCTTTTAGTCAGCGTAGCAGGAAATAAATATCTTCCTAGATCTAACTAAAGACATCAAAAATACCTCCTTGGATTTGGACACATACTTGTAATCCCAAATGCTCAGGGGACTGGGAACCAGATGGGTTGGTACACACTATTCCCAGCACTCAGGAGGCTGAGGCAGGAAGATCACAAGTGCAAGTCCACCCTGGGCTACATATTGAGTTCAAGGCCATCCTGGATGACATGGAAAGACCCTGTCTCAAAAAAATAAAATAACAAGGGGGTAGAGGAGAGGCTAGGGACGTGGCTCAGTGGTAGAGCATTTGTGTAGCACCCAAGAAGGCCCTGGGTTCAATTCCCAAGAAGGAAGAATGACAAGGTGTGAGGGGAGGAGGAAGGGGAGAAATTTTATAAGGAGGAGAGTTCTTTTGTCTGATGCTTCTCATCAACTTCATTGTTCTTCTTTCACATTTATGTACCATCTGATTGTAAGATAGAAATACAGCAAGTCGCTGAGCGTAGTAGCACACCCCTGTAATCCCAGCACTCGAGAGGGCTGAGGCAGGAGAATTGTTGCAAGTTCAAGACCAGCATGGGCTACAAAGTGAGCTCAAGACCAGCCTGAATCACATAGTGAGACCCTGTCTCAAAAAGACAAAAAAAAAAAAAAAAAAAAGGGATTACAGCAAGTCAGGTGAGAGCTGTCTCTTAGTGCCTGTCCAGGAATGAAGCCCTTCTCTTTGAGCAGCATTTGAATAAAAGCCGTGATCATTTTTGAGGAGCAAGGTTGGATTAGAGAAGATGGATGTGAAGATTTCTCTGAACAGAGGACTAAGAAGTAAAAGACACTGAGCTCACTATCAAACTGCCTAGGAAAGACATATTGACTTATTTCACCTCCAGAGATTGTCCTGCTTCTTTCTATCCCTCCATGTGGGATGAGCCAAACACAGCAAGATGCAGGATCTGAGCCATACAAGGAGCTCCTACTGCTAGGGATGAGAAGAACCACCATCTCTGAGTACAGAATGAAGCTCCCTAATTAACTGGAGGATTAGCAAAAATGGTCCCCAGAACACCCTTCACATCCAACACAGAATTCAACTTGGCTTAATGTACATCACGCTTGCACAGAGAAGGGATGGTAAGGAGACTTGGTTCAAGCCTTAGCTACAAGTATCTCATTCATTCTTTCCTTTATTCACTGTTTACTGAACTCCTGTGATGTGCCTGACATTGTAAAAGCAAGGAGTTAGGAAGTCAGGTTTAATCTGCGCCTCACTTGGAAGCTCTGTGACCTTGAGCAAGCATGCTTCTCTCTGCACTGACGTCTTAGTAATATGAAAATAGAAAACTGAATTTCCCTAAAGAGTTCAGTTTAATTCAACCAAAAGCTACCCCGCCTTGAGCTTGATGCCAAGCTGTATGTTCTAGGGCAGAGTGCTAGAGAGTGAGATGAGGGAGGGAAGTGAATGGAGAAAGTGTGACAGACCAGGGAAGGCAGGGATCCAACTGGCTTCGAGCACAGCACAACAGAGGCACAGAAGCCAGCCAGGAAGAGACTTCTGAGTTCAACAGAAGCACAGGAAAAGACTCAAAGGGGGGATGGTGATGTGCATCTTTCACACCGGGCCTGGAAGGCAGAATGACTCCTCAGATGAAAAACAGCGAGAAGAGTCAAGGTCAAAGGTCCAAAGCTCGAAGCATCATACTGATGAGAAAAGCCCTTGAAAATGCAGTACACCTCAGCAACACGGCTTCTCCCTCCTACCCTATGTGTCCTATACTCAGGAATTCAGAACTGCAGTTTACAGGGCGTCGGAGAACAGCCAGGCTCTACTAGCCAGCAAAACAACTCAGATAAGTCAATCACTAAAATAATAGCATGGGCCGGGGGGTGAGGACAAAGGGCATGTCGTCTAAAAGGGACAGTCACTATTCAGTTTAGTTCAAATGATGCCTTGAAGGAAAGTAACAGCAGTCAGATTTTAGATATTTTTCAGAGAGAAAAACAGGTAACCTGCATCAGGGCCCAATAAATTGGTGGAGAGGCTGGGTTCAAATCTACAATTATCAGACCTCAAAATGGAGCTTCTGGAGAGGCCAGATGGGGAAAAGGAAAATTACTTGGGTTATACAGCTGGGAGTTGTGCAGAGAAGAAGAAAGGAACCTGGCAGTACTACAGACAGCTAAGTTAGGCAGAAATATAGTAGGCAGATAGGCCTGGGCCTTCAAAGGAGTCAGTGCAAAAGATGAGAATCCATCAGGACCGTGGCTGGAGGTGCACCTGAAGATTAAAGTCACAGTGGCTAGTTCTGCATACTTCCCTAAGGGATAAACAGAGGCTTGGGATTTTTGGTATCACCTTTAGATTTCTCATCATCTCATTAGGAGTAGGCCATCCTCTCCCACCTACTAAGACTAAGACTAAGACTGCTAAGACTAAAGACAAGGCCAAGACTATAGATTATCAATCAAAATTAATGGTGTCATTCATGTACCTTTGCTAACATTGGATCAATATTACCTAAGTGACTGTACTCGCAATCTTATTGGTTGATCATAATTTTGACCCATGTTGTACCCGCCACATGATTTTGCTCTATAAAACTTCCTTTGTGCTGGGGATGTAGCTCAGTGGCATAAGTGCCTGCCTGGCAAGCCTAAGGGCATGAGTTTGATTCCCGGTACCAAAGCAAACAAACAAAAAAAGACAATAACTTCCTTTGAGAGGTAGGTTCATTGGCAATCCATTTGGGACCCCTCCTGTCTCTCAGGAGTTATTTCTATTTCTCATTCCCCATTTCCATTCCCCATTCCTTTTCTCCAATAAATTTTCCTACACTTAACCTCTATTGTTTCTTAGAATTCATTTTTCAACTTTGAAAAATTTGACACCTAGCATTTCCCCTGTATCAGAAGGATACAAAAAAGGAACAAGGTCAGCAATCCAGGGATAAGACATTTTAGCAGAAGAATTGGGAAAGGCAAAACACACAGATGCACTGACATGTGAAGAATGGCAGGCAGGAGCAGCTGGTGAGATTTAAAGTATACAATACCAAGAGCAACCAGAGACTAGAAAACAGCAAAAATCCGTGGACCCACGACTACTGACATTAAATTCTAACGGGTGGTGGCTCAGTATGGTGCTATAATCCCAGCACTTGGGTGGTTGAGACAGGAGGATTGCAGTGAGTTTGAGGCCAGCCTGGACTATGTAGTGAGTTCGAGGTCCGCTGGAACTACACAGCGAGATCCTGTCTCAAAAAACAAAATGGAACAAAGCAAATCTAATGGTTGGCTTCAAGTGATAAAATGAATTTTTTTTTTTTATTTTAAAGAGTAAAAGAAGGACAACATAGCAATAGGGGGACTGAACAAATTACAGACAAAATTACACCAAATTACAAAGTGGTAGGACATTATCAATGGTTGTTATTTTACCTGTTGGTATCTTCAAGATAGTTTCTCAAGAAAATAAATAGACAAATAATAGTGAGTTACAGACAAAAATGGCAGGAAATTATCAATGGTTGTTGTACTACATCTTGGTTTCTCCAAAGTGGTCTCTAGGGAAAACAAATTGAGCTATACATGAGTGATCAATCAAATAATCATTGACTATTCTCAACAAATTGAGCTATACATGAGTGATCAATCAAATAATCATTGACTATTCTCAATGATTGTTGTTGAAAACACATAATAACATACATCCTTTTATGAAATAGCATAGGGACAATACAAACATTACAGAGTTACCCACAGATTGGTAGGAAACCATCAATGGTTGCTGCAATACATGTCGGCATCCTCAAAATGGTTTCTCAGGAAAACAAAGATGTGCAAGAAAGATCCAACAAGTAGTTACAGCCCACGGGTTGCAAAAAATAGCGGATTACCTCCTCATCAGTGACTCCCCCCATTGAGGTGTGACGGCTGGAAGGAAGGCCAGGGCTGAAAAGAAGGACCGAGAGACCAGCACCAGTGTCCAGCAGCGGGCCGTCCACTTTTTGGTCTATAGTCATGGTTTCACGGGGCTCCTCCTTCTCCATAAAGGCGGTTCTACAGGATCTGAATATTGGGCACCCATGTAATCCGTGAAGTCTCGGTGCAGACCTTTCCGGAGCTCCACTCGCTCCTCCAGCGCAGCCTGCACAGTTAGGGGGGGAATGGCCTCCAGGGCTTCTCCCCGGGGAATGAGCAAAGTCCTCCTGGTTTTCAGCTCGCGAATGGCTCCCGGGTCCCCAGTCAGCTCGACCTCTGAGTCGTCGGGCGTCGGTGCTCTCGTGTTCTCCGAGTCCTTGTTCATCAGCTGCTCCTCCGCTGTCTCCGGACCTTTCTGGCTCTCAAGGGCAGGGCCAAGAGCAACCCGCCTTGTGGCATGTTTTCCCAGGGGTTTCTCCACGTCGGCATATTTCACACACATCTCCGGGCGGGCCTATTGTGTGGGTGTTTCTGTGCGGCATGGCGGTTCTCGCCCTCGCTGCGGAGGCAGGCCCAAGGCCGCGTCTGTCTCCGCGCCGCTTCCCGGGCGCCTGCTGCCTGCCTTTCCGGGCGCCTGCGCACGGGGCTACGCCGGGCCTGCCAAAATGAAATTTTATTAGCAATGAAAGAAAGCACCAATCTGATCAAAATAAACCTGAAATAAGAAACTGAATCCCTCCCCCAAACCTTCCTCCCAGCCACAAGTGCTTTCTGTGAATAATTGAAACATCCTCCAGGCATATTAAAAAACTCAGAAGGCAAGTTCTTCTGCCCTGCAGGGCGCCCTAGGTGAATATCTGCATGTGTCAAGTAAGAGTATTCCCACCGCCTCCCCTGTTCTCCAGGGAGATGGGGGTGTGATGGACTTCGCAAGTCTTAGCAGATTTCTCTGACCTTGGCAAACATGCACACTTCCACATCGTGTGTGTGTGTGTGTGTGTGTGTCTATGCGTGTGTGCAGGTACCTGTTACTTGCATTTATATTAGGAGCAGTGAGGCAGTGGTAGGGAAAAAGTAGGGAGAAAAATGTGTTAAAAGAAAGGAAAATGGCCGGGCATGGTGGCGCAGGCCTGTAATTCCAGCCCTTGGGAGGCTGAGGCAGGAAAATCATTGCAAGTTCGAGACCAGCCTGTGCTACAAAGTGAGCTCAAGGCCAGCTTGAACTGCATAGCAAGACCCTGTCTCAAAAAGAACCCCCCCCCACAAAAAAAAGGGAAAATGGAGAGATATTTCTAAATGTAGTCTTGTCATTGCTTTTTCTTCCCCTAAAACCATCCAGCTACTGAGGGACACAGCAACTTTTGGATTGCACCTTTAGGAGAGGTTTTTATGGAAAACATGTGTTCCTTTCCAGGGGAAAGCCTCCCACTTGGATGTGGGATACAGAGCCATTAAGACTAAAGGCACAGCAGAACCCACTGCATTGGATGTGGGCCTTTCGGGGAAAGCCCTGCGCTCATCAAACTTTCACAGTAATTATACATCCCCTTAGGAATCCCAGTGGCAGTGAAGCCTGGAGGGGAAGATTCACAAAAGTTGCAAAGCATATTTCTTTGACTCAGCCCAGCCAACATCTGGTAGTAGGGGAGCTCCCTGGGTGACATACGTGGGGAATAAAAAGGAAAACAAATTAATCTGTAGTATTTGAGAAAGATGAATCTTAAGAAGCTGCAATGTCTTTGTGCAGACGGTCGCCACCAAGATTCTAGAGGTGATCAACCGGAAAGGCTGAGCTGCAGGGAATTTGGAGTGTCAGATGAGACCCCGAGCAGCGACAGACACCACCAGGACAGGCAAGATTGAAGCAAACAGCGATATCTTTATTTCAGGTTGGGTGAACCTGGCCAAGGGCGAGAAAGCTGTTGTCCCTGAATAGAGGAAGGGGGCCTACTTTATAGACTATTTTAGGTACAGGAAGGGGAAATTCCACGAAGGAAGGTGGAAAATTTCAGTTTCTCAGGGGTGATGGGTGGGTCTGGAGCCTCTAGGGGAAGAAAGTACAAGAAGATGTCAGCAAGTTGCTGATGTACAGTGTGGAATTCTGTAGACTCACAAGGTTTCCTGTAAGCCTGAGAACTAGACCCAGGAACCATCCTGATAAACAGATTTACTTTAGTCTCTCGAGCTGAGTGAGCAGTTTCTGTTTGAACAGACTTTGTCTGTCAGAGTTTTTCTCTTCGAGTTGGTCAGGGTACAGTGAGGGACCTAACGGAAAGCAGCAATCCGTGGTTGAAGCACTCAGGCGGGGAGGCTGGCTGGGTGAGAGTGGAGAGTATGGCCCAGATGGAGAACCAAAGTGGCCACCTGCTCTCCAAGGTTTTGGAGTGTCTTTCAACTTTCTTGAAAAGCTAATTTTATCTTATCACTGTTTTTTTTTTCTTATCACCATTTTTAAGACTTTTAAAAATTTTTCCTATGTACTGCGCACCTGGGTCAAAATGCTGACTCAGTCTTCTTTCCAAACGTCTGAGTGGCACACCTCTCCACACACCTGACACAGTGCTGGCCACCGGGCTGCGGACTCTCCCACACCTCGCAGTAATGAGGAAGGAAGGACAAGGAAGGGCAGGGTACCAACACTGACCTCCCGACACATGACTAGAAGTGCGAGGCCAACTCTGTGGAACATCAGCACACCTCCGGCCTCCACAGTGCTGGCAGAAACCCAGATGTGCAGACATTCAATCCATGCCAACTCCCAGGAGGCCTGCAGTACTAGCCTTTCCCTTGTGCTGTTGTTTTGCTTAATGGTTTAAGATTAACAGTCCTGTAAGGCAGAACAAGACACTTCCACCTAACCAAGAAGGGAATACACATACGTAAATGAAATGAGCATTTGCAGCCTTCGAGCACATATTTCATAATTACGGTTAGAGAAATCAAGCATAGGAAACTTTTAAAAAATATTAAGTCACATTTCATCTTCAGTTTGAAAGGGTCGTGGGACATGTGCAAATGTGACAGCTGCTTTGTCCTGATTTCTTCATTTGCATTTCTGATTTTTATTGTGTGTATATTTTCCTCATAAAAATCAGCTTTATATATAATAAAATATACATGTTTTGCTCCCCTCCCAGCCTCTTAATTCTTTTTCCTAAATATTGACAAATATCTTTATCAGAAGAGGTTTTTTTTATGCAGAAGTCTTTTTTTTTTATTTTAAAGATAAAAGGAGGGAAACATTAACAGACATACAACATTTTACAACATATCACAAGCACAATACAGACAATACAGAGTTACAAACAAAGTGGTAGGGAATTAACAGTGGTGGTTGTATTACATATTGATACAGAAGAGGTTTATTAGATGAAAAAAAATCTGTTTTCCAAGTGTAAAATGAACAGTGATTTGGAAAAATACAATTACCAAATCAAGATTTGTGTAACATATCTCCTACTACAGTTTATCCTGAAAGGAGATGGGAAATACGAAATGACATCACCTTAACTGAAAATTCTCTAGGAAAATCTTTCTGCTCTGAAAGAATGTTAAAAAATAGCATTTCAAATTAAACCTGAGTCACATTTTTGTAGGTCAAAAAGAGTTAAACATCTATAATTTTGTAGGATGTAGTCTAATACTAGAAGACTGAGAAAGCTTTATTACTCTTTCACTTCGGTACAATAAAAATTCTGTTCGAATTGTGCACTTCAAGTGGATGAATTTTATGGCACGCAAAATATAGCTTGATAAAGCTATTAAACATTCTACTTCAGTCATTTATTCATTACTGTTTTCAAAACATGAATCCATAATTTATAGTGGGATATCATACAGTGGTTCCATGCGGCTAAATGATTTATCTACTTATCCAGAAAAGGGAGAGAAAAGCAGGCCACAGATGGAAAAGCCCAGACTTTCTTTCCTTGGCTGGTTCCCCTAGTTCTTGAGGCTCCAATAAAAAAGGGCCCAATTTATTCCCAATCCCTGCAGTTCCACAAGAGATGAGCAAAATTAAACCAAGCCCACATGATTTTTGAGAAAAGCCAGAAACTAAAGTCCACAGTCTGAATGCTTCTTCCTCCACCTAAAGTTAACCATTCACTGTAATGTGCAAACAAGGACTTCGTCTTTTTCTCTGATGCTCTCAGGTCTCCTGTGACACACCTACCTCTCCTCAGCCCAACCTCTCAGCCCGCCTGCTGAATGGTACCAGCCTCCTTCTGGAAGTTCAACTCAACCCAAATAGTTGATCCTGGGAGACAGAAAAAAAAACAAATTTTAGCAGCAACACTTTGAAACCCCTTTACAAGTACACGTCATTTAGCATGCCACCCTGCAGTGGCCATGCTGGGATGCATTCTTGTTAGTTGAAAATCTCCAAACCTATGGGAAAGCTACTGAAACACACTTTCACCTTATACTTATATCTGAAACATCTGGGAAGCTGGTTAAAATGCAGCTTCTGATTCTGTGGATCTGGGGTGGATTCTGAGATTCTACTTTTTTTTGAGACACAGTCTTGGTATGCAGTTCAGGTTGACCTTGAACTCACTATGTGGCCTATGATGGCCTTGAATGTGTGGCAATCCTCCTGCCTCAGCCTCCTGAGTGCTGGGATTACAGGCATGCATCACCATACCCCGCAAAATTCTACATTTTTTTTTTCTTTTTGCCTTTTTTGGGGAAGGTCTCACTATGCAGTTCAAACTGGCCCTGAATTCACTTTGTAGCCCAGGCTGGTTTCAAGCTTGCAGTGATCCTACTGCCTCAGCCTCCTGAGTGCTGCGACTACCGGCATGCGCCACCATGCCTGGCTCAAGATTCCGAATTTCTAAAAAGCTCTCTGGGGCTGCTATTGCTGCCACCAGTGAGAAGCCCATACCTTAAGTGGAAACATTCTAGAATTGACCTCTTCCACTGGAAGCATTACACAAGGAAAAAATGCAAGTCATGCACATAATTTTTTAAGTTTTCCGATAGCCACATTAAAAAAGTAAAAGGTAAAGATAACTTTAATAATATATTGTTATTTAAGCCAATAGTTTAGACTGCTATCATTTCAGTATGGAACCAATACAAAAATTCATTTACTCGGTGTTTCACAATTGCTTTGCAAACTGGTTTCTCCCACTAGTATTTGATGTTGTTGTTGTTTGGTTTTTTTTTTTGTTTTGGTTTTTCTCCGGTACCGGGAACCGAACTCACGACCTTGTGCTTGCCAGGCAGGCGCTTTTGCCGCTGAGCTAAATACCCAGCCCCTCCCACTAGTATTTGAAATATGGCCTGTACTTTACCCGTACAGTGCATCACAGTTCCAAGAAACTGTCATCACCGGAGGCCAGTGGCTACCTACAGAACAGGGGCTTGCTCAGGGGAGGGGAGTCGCTGGGCATGGCTGGAAGGGCGTGTTTTGTCCCCACTCCTCCCTTTTCTCTCTGCTTCCTGGTCACCATGACGTGAGCAGCTCTCTTCCACCGTGCCCTTCTCCCACGTCAGTTCTGCCTCGGAGCCAACCCATCGTGCACTGAATACTGGGGAACCCATGAGTCAAAATAAACCTCTCCCCCTCCGCGTTGCAGGCGCTGGGCTATGTCCCAGCAACGGGAGAACACCTAATACACATGGGGGGAAGGGGAAGATCCAGAAATAAGAGTAGCAGCCACTGAGGCAAGAAAAAAAGACCAAGAGAATTTGGTTTTTGGCCAAATTTGGCAACCACACGCCACCACTAAAATCTAAGTGAGCAACATTTCAAGGTGGAGGAAGTAAGGGAACCACAGCAAGCCCTGACTCAGAGCATCGGCCACAGTCTGAAGAAGGAAGGTAGAGGAAATGAGAACAGGTTCATTTACCAACTAGTAGAATGTAGAAGGACAATGCATGTAGGACTTTGATTTTTTTTTTTTTTTTTTTTTTTTTTGGTGAAATGGTGTATTATTCTGCTTTATTTTAGGGAGCAAAACATGTTGTCCACAACTTCAAAGTGGAGAGCTTCGTTTTGGCTCACGGTTTCAGAGGTTTCCAGCCATAGTCTGGCTGACTCCAGGGCAGGGACATCACAGGGGAAGGGTGTAGCTGAGGAGAACTGCTTCACTTAGGCACCAGGAAGCAGAGAGCAGGGAGCCGCCCCCCACAGCGCACCGACACACCCAGAAGTGCGATTTATTAATCTTCTAGGTATCTGCCAAGCCACAATGGTTGACAATCAAGAGTAACCTTACAAACAGGAAGCAAGGACATCTGATAAGGGCAAGGGTGGTCCTGGGGGCGAGGTTGGAGGAAGGAGGAAGAACTGTGAACTTGATATTTAGGACAGAGAGAGAGAGAGACAGAGAGACAGAGAGACAGAGAGACAGAGAGAGAAGAGTAAACAGTTTGCTAGGCAGCATTAAGGGGACAAGCGATCATCAAATCATGAGAGGCTCTCCTCTGTAGTTCCATTTTTAAGAATAACTAGAATCAATAAATGGAAATTGGTTTCACAAAAACCTCAGGACCAGAGGCTTTTGAAACTGCATGGAGTCCGTCCTTTCTTTCTTTCTTTCTTTCTTTCTTTCTTTCTTTCTTTCTTTCTTTCTTTCTTTCTTTCTTTCTCTCTCTTTCCTTCTTTCTTTCTCTCATTCTCTCTTTCTTTCTCCCTTCCTTCTTTCTTTCTTTCCTTTCTTTTTTCTTTCTTTCTTCCTTTTTCTTTCTTTCTTTCTTTCTCTTTCCTTCTTTCTTTCTCTCATTCTCTCTTTCTTTCTCCCTTCCTTCTTTCTTTCTTTCTTTCTTTCTTTCTTTCTTTCTTTCTTTCTCTCATTTTGAGATAGGATCTCACTTTGTAGTTTAGGCCGGCCTTGAACTCACTAAGTAGCCCAGGCTGGCCTTGAACTCATAGCAATCCTCCTGCGTTGGTCTTCTGAGTGCTGAGATTACAGTAATGCACCACCACATCTGGCTGCATGACTACTTTATTTTTGTTTTGGTGCTGGGAATCAAACTCAGGACCTTACTCTTGCCAGGTAGGCACTGTGAGTTATCGCCCTGGCCCCTGCATGACTACTTTAAATACTATCATTCAACTTCCTTTCATAGAGGAAAAAAGGAAGACCAAGGAAGTTAAGCCATTTGCTAGACAGTATCCCTACGTAAGTTAATGGCAGAGCCCAGATCTTGTGGGGAAAGAACTAATACTTAACAAGAGTGTAATCCAAATGTGGATTAAGGGGCTGGTGATATAGCTCAGTGGTACAAGTGCCTGCCTGGCAAGTGCAAGGTCCTGAGTTCGATTCCCAGTACCGAAAAAACAAAAACAAAAACAAAAAAATGTGCATTATGCACCAGAGGCTGGAATATATATATTTCAACTAAGTACATCTGTCCAACTATGGGATGGGCTACCTGAGAGGAAGTGTAGTAGAAAATAAACTACCCTTCCAACACTGATAATCTACACCTTAAATAGAGATAAATTTGGTCAAGAATATTGTACATTGGGTATTTAAAAAATAATAGTAGGGGCAGATTTATTTACATTGACGGGCACTGATGGGATCTTTCCCAGAATATCAGGCCCTGATCTCTGATGGTCTAGGGCTTACATAGAACAAGCAAGCAGGAAGTACAGAGGCAGAATGGTTTGTCAATTGGGGACTGGTTTATACAATGTGCATCACAGTGACCAGCCATTTCTAGGAGACAGGAGAATCGGATCTGGAACAGGAACTATTACCTGGGCAACTAATAAACAGACACATACTGGCCAGGGGGTGGGCGGGTGTGTGTGCTACACTTGGATGAATCCTTCAGTCTCCAGTCTCTTCCTCACCTAACTCTGTGGGTGGCCATTGTAAGCCAATCTTGTAGTTTCTTGTATATTTGTATATCTTGTGTTGTATCTGTTTTCTGTAGTAAATGCTGACCGATACAAGACCATATCCTTAAGTGAAATGAATGGGACACATATTTAAACATATCATTGTTTCTCTAGAGTGAGAAATGGAAAGTGTAAATCAGGACCAAATGTACAATAGATATTGTGAAATAGAAACAAAATGTTCAAATGGAGGGGGAGCTAGGGAGGGAGGAGGGGGAAAGGAAGAGAGGGAAAAGAAGAAAAGACAATAGAAGGAAAAAATGAAAACAAAGCTTTTGTAAATAAGGAGGGGTACAGGGGTTGAGGGGAGTAGAGGGGAATGTGAAAAAGGAATAATTAAGATATATTATATACAGGTACAAATTTCCTGTGATGAATATTATTATGTATATCTAAAATGTACCAATAAAATTAACTTTTAAAAAATCAAAAAACTACTATTTAAAATGACCCATCACCCTGTATGAATATCTGTTCAAATATGGTGCTCTTTAATTACTGTGCTTCACAGGCTTTCTCAGAATTCAGATCTTCCTTATGTCTAAGACTGCACAAAGGTAGAACCTGATGGAAAGAGAAGGGAAAAGTAGTATTAAAGCATGTCCCAAACAAGAATTTGCTTAGTAGACAATACTTCATAATACACAGACTGTTCTCAAACTAAAAATAAAAACTGGTAGAATCAGAATCTGAGATTTATAAGGAAACATGGAGATTATACAAATGATGGTTTTCAGGTATCTTTTAAATTTTAGCTCCAGAATTCACTGTCGAAACAAAAGCCCCTGAAAAGGAAAGGCGGGGGGACGGTCCATGGAGTGTCACAATCCATCCTCCTAGCCATCACATTCTAATCCCACCACTGCTCCAGGGTCTCGAACTCGCAATGATTCTCCTGCCTCAGCCTCCCCAGTGCTGGGATTACAGGCATGTTCCACCATGCCCAGCTAACTCCTCTATTTGTAGGCAAGCAAACTAAGGCTCAGTTATTCTGAGCCTTCAATAATAATGTTTTGGTGGAACAGCTGGAAGTACGGAGTGTATCTTCACTGTCCAGTACTATTTCCAATAGGCTATTCATTTCTAAGTGTGATTTACCAATCTCATACCAGGTAAAAATTGCCCCAGAGAACAACTGAGACTTCTACTGCTCTAAAATGATGCCTTAAGGAGTCACTTGTCTCCTTCTAAATTGGTTCAGTGATACCCATAATAGCTTCCAGGTTTAGTAATTTATTTTAAATATTGTTCAGTCAGAAATCTAAGAATATGTGAATTTAATGTTTCATTGAATTTTCTAGCAACGTTATTATTTAGTCTTAGAACTAAAACACTTCCCTAAAAAGAGCATCTCTAATTTAATAATTTATGTCAATAAGAAAACATGACTAATTGATAACAGATTTACTACCAACTTTTTAGGAATAAAATTATTTTGTCAAGTAGCCTGTGAATTAAAAAGGAATATGATAAGAGAAATAAATGATAATAATATAAGTAACTTAGAGCCCTAGGCTTGATATTATTTTCAGAGAGAAATGTTGTAGGTAATAGATACAAACAGAATATCATGTCATACTTTAATACCAAAATTCAAATGCAGTTTTGGCACTATTACTGTTTCAGTGTGTAAAAATTTACAAATGAAAACAAGAAATTCTGGATGCACATTCTTAGTGATTAATATTCTGTGCAAACTTTTAAGATAAGACAGGACATGGCTAAATGAAATGTTGACACTCTAGTATATGCTGGGACAAATGAATGTTATAGACAAGATCACCAATTTTGAAAGTTGAGATATATTTGAAGGTTCCTTATCTTCTCCCACCCAAGAAAATCAGATATACTGTTTGGCTTTTGTTAGCATTGTAATAAGCAACAATTTATCCAGGTTCTGCTGTGTACATGAGGTCATTATCTCAAGCAAGAAGGACTTCAAAATGCCCCTGTCCTCGTGTGGCTTGGTCTTTTTGAACAGACTGCTACAATTTAGATCTAAAGCATCCCCCAAGAGTTTCACAGGGCCGTAAGAAGGGGATTGGCCCAGGAAGGACTCAACTTCATCAGTGAATTAAACCATTGATGAGACCACAATTTAATGACAGTATTGGGAAGTAATAAAAGTTAGGAGACAGGGTCTAGTTGAAAGGAGTGCATCATGGAAGCATGACCTTAGGGATGATATCCTGTCCCTGTCCCCATCCTCCCATTTGTTCTCTGCTTCCTAGCTGCCATGAGTGAGAAGCTTGCTTCTCCACCCCTTCTACCATGTTGTTCTTCCTTAGCTCAGGTCTGTAGCAATGGAACCAGCCAACCATGGACTAAAACGTCAGAAACTGTAAGCCAAAAATAGATATTTCCTCTTTACTATTTTATCTGAGGTACTTTGCCAAAGTGATGAAAACCAGACTAACACAGGACATGAATAGATGAAAGTCAAGGTATTGTTTCAAAACTGAATTATGGTGAGGTACATGTGCTCCAGAATTTGTCCAATTCATCTGGTTTATTCAGGATATTAAATGTGTTGACCTGAAATTGCCCACAATAATCTTTAATGACTCTATGTGTTTCTAAAGTGTCAGCTTTAATGTCTCTATTTTCATCTCTGATTTTGACTTTTCTCTTTTGCTTAACATAGGTAACGGTTTGTCAATTTTATCTTTTCAAAGAACTAGCTCTTCATTTTGTATAAATGGTACTGTTTGTGAAGTCTCTATTTTATTTCCTTCTGCTCTAATGTTCATTATTTCTTTCCTTCTACTAATTTTGGGCTTGGTTCTTTTTTCTCTAGTTCCTTGAGATGCAGCAATAGGCTGTTCTGCTTTTTTGATGTAGGCATTGATTGCTACAAACTTACCCTTTAGTACTGTTTTTTGCTGTATTCTATAAGCTTTGGAATGCTGTCTCCATTTTCATTTCTTTCAAGAAATTTTTTTATTTTATTAGTATGTATTTGTCATACATAATGATCACATTTATCATATAGAATCTGTACATGTACATAATATGTCTTAATACTTTTCCCATTCCCCCTTCAAAACTTCTTCCCCCCCATCAATTTACAAAGGCTTTGTTTCCATTTTTTTCCTTGCACTCTTTCTTAAAAATCCCTTTCTCATTCTTCTTCCCCCCCCCCTCCCTTGTTCCCCTTCCCATTTGAACACATTTTTCCCAATTTCCAATATCTGTCCTCAGTTTTGCTCCATATTTACACTTTAGGTTTTTCACACAAGAGAAACAATGCAATGTTTAAACTTGTGTGTCTGGTTTATTTCACTTAAAAGTATGGCATCAAGGTGCATACATTTACCTAAAAATGACTCATGGTTACCCTTCTTTATGGCAGAGTAGTACTCTGTTGTATGTAAATACATTTTCTTTATCCATTCATCTGATGATGGGCATATGGGCTGTTTCCAATATTTAGCTATTATAAATTATGCTGCTATAAACATGGGCATGTATATATCACTGTGGTATGATGCTTTTAATTCTTTCAGAAGGATACCTAGTAGGAAAATAGCTGGGTCAAATGGAACTTCTAGTATTAATTTTTTTGGGAATCTCCAAGCTGATTTCCATAGTGGCTGTACCAGTTTATACTCCAACCAGCAATGCAGAAGTGTCCTTTTTTCCTGATAGCCTTACCAGCATTTGTTATTGATTGATTTCTTTATTTCAAGAAAGAGTAGGAAAATTTACCAGGGAATAGGAATAGCTCCTGTGAGACAGGAGGGGTTGCAAATGGGTTGCCAACAAACCCAGTTCTCTGAGAAAGTTTTATAGAGCAAAATCACAAAGTGAGTGAAACATGGGTCAAAACTATAATCAACCAATAAGATTACAAGTATAGCCACTTGTCTAATACTGATCTACTAGTAGCAAGGGCATATAGATGACATCATTAACTTGGTCAGTCTATAGGCTTAGTCTTGTCTTAAATCTTAGTCTTAGTAGTCTTAGTCTTAGTAGTGTTAGTCTTGGTCTTAGTGGGTCAGAGAGGATGGCCCACCCCTAGTGAGATAATGGTTTATTTATACGGGAAATCTCAAAGGCTGGAACCAATAATCTGAAGCTTCCATTTACCCCAGAGGGAAGGATGTAAATCCGGCCACTGTGACTTTAATCTTCTTCAGATGTGCCTCTAGCCACAGTTTTGAGGTTCTCATCTTTTGTGCTAACTCCCCCAAAGGCCTAGCCCTATCTGACTGCCTATATTTCTACTTAACTTAGCTCTCTATAATATTCACCCCTGTGAAGAGGTATCCCTGACTGTAGTTAAGAGAAAAGGGGTATAGTTTCTATCTAGCTGCTTCAAGATGAAGAGGTTCAGTGTAGGTGAGATTGCAGTCAGAGGCTTTCTCCAGAGAGCTGCTTTGCCTAGAAATCATGTTGTAGTTTAGCAGCTATGAATTCCTCTTACAAGTTCTATCTAGTGGGTCCTTGTAAAAGGAGTCTGGCACATTTGTCATTGGTTCCATCTGCATGATCACTTGGAGATTGGTAGCTTCTAGGTGCGAATAAACAAATTTTCTGAAACATTAAAGCATGCATAATCAAAGCATGAGCACTACAATGGAAAGGCAGGTTGAGGAAAAGAGCCGCGTCTAGACACTGCTTTTAAGGGACTGGCATAATGAATGTAACCAGTTAGCTCTTAGGCCCCTCTAGTGATGCAGGTTATCTGTATGCCTGATATTTTTTGTCACAAATTCCTCTACCATTAGCTGTAAGAAGATGAAGAGTTTGGTGGTTTTGAAGGAAAATATTTGCTAAGGAATTTAAACACTCTTGTTGTTTTTGTAGCTCTTACCATAGATTTTTAGCCTCACTAAACTGTAACAGTGGCCAGCTACCAGTATAGCTGGAAACTGACAGCAAGGGTCAGTGGACTGGAGTCTCTTTTTATATCTAGCTTTTATTACTACAGTATTACTTTCATACATCCTTTGATTATATCGTTCTGCTGGATGTTTAAGACCAAGTTAAAGCCAGACCTGAGTTAATAAAAATTAATCTTTTGCTGTCTATCAAAGTCAGTTAAGTCTCCTCAAGCATTACTTTTGGAGCCATGTACAGAGAATCAGCTCTTCTGTCAGTGTCAGCTACCAGGATGGGTCACAGTCTTGCTTAACCATGTTGCTTTCTATGAAAGCATGGGAGACATTTCCCTTTTTGATGACCTTCTTTTTTGGCATACTATACATTTGTGATTCCTGTCTTCTGGGTTCTAGCAATCTCCCTGCTCAGGAGTTTGGGAGACTCACCAAAGTTGTAGGATTCTGTAGAAAATTCCCTCATGTTCTGGGTCCTCACTGACCTGGGAGGGCCAAAAACAAAATCTTGGCTATCTTTGTAGCCCAGTTATCTTTCTAGTTCTGGTCTCCAAATGTCAGTTGTTGAATTCCCAGAAAAGATCAGTTACATCAATATTGCAATGGATATCAAGCAGTTTGAAAGATAAACTATAGCCAGAAGATTGTTATTTCTTATCAACCATGGTTATTTTAGAAGTTGAATCCCTGTAGAATATGAACAGACAAAAATTATA